TAATGAAATCGGTTCATTCTTTTTTAATAATAGATAATAAAGACGAATATCGGTGTGTCACTGCGTCACACATTTTGAAATATACTCATAGAGGCCGTACCAAACATATACCATTTTGGAATCAATTAAAAACATCTTAGATCCAAACCCACAATCCTGAAATTTTCGATTCCCAAGATTTCATTACTGTGATCGTTATCGGTGATTTTTTACGATAAATTTTTTCTACGATAACAATTTTTATAATTTAGAAATAAATTTTGGAATAATCGAAATTAATTGCGAAATCAAGCGAAAGTCCCCCCTGAAATAAAAAAATAATTGTTTGTACGGAAAGTAATGCCCTACATACATTAAATTGTCTTTAAATTAAGTTGCGGCAGAAGATTGAGGACTATCAACAGCAGCAACCACAAAAACGGATAGCATATGTTAATTTATGAAAAAATTATTACATGATCGAGATGTTGACATTCCACACTACTTTAAATAAAAGGTAAGTGTTGTGGTACGATCCACCTAATTTACATAGTGGAGTACCGACGATATAAATATGGGTTGGTACCGGGAAGACGAGGGAAGAAGTAAGAAGAGATCCAATCGAGAGACTCTGCCCGGACTGCGATTAAGTCAACCCATTCTACAGGAACAGTCTTCCCAAGAATATACCAAAACTAACTGTAAATATTGTGTACCTTTTCCTTGTTTCAATACATTTTGTTTACGTACATTTTGTGTTGTATTATTATTATTCCATGCTTATCCAAGCTTCAACAGTAAGGAAGAAAACCAAGGTTCTCGGAATAGGTAATAACTGCTCGTGTTATTGCTACGCAGTAATTACTTATTTAAGACCTTGCAATACTGAGAAAGACAGCAAGATGGAAAATTCTTGAATATATTTTGCGAATGAAGCCAGAATTCCCAGCTAAAAAAGTCATGGATTTTTACTTTGAAAAGACTAACGTCAAAAAGTTCGGAGGTCATCCAAGAACAACCATAGTCACGACGCTGAACCGAAACATTCAAAGAACAAGGCAGAAATATACCACTTTTCGTCTGGGGAAGTTTACAGTCAAAGAAGATCTGCAAACAAATCTTCAAACTCGCAGAGGATGGAGAAGGCAGGCAAAATATTGTCGAATCAGTATACGATGTCGCTGAAGATGAGAGAACGGGTTAATCCCTGACCTCAAATCGAAACAGTTTTGATGATGATGATGAAAGAGACCTTGTCACAATAGGAATTAGCGATGAAAGCTACGGGACTTGAGAAAACTGTTTCTTGAAGAAAAATTTCTTAAAGAATTTAAAATAAATTCAACAGAAAGTAAGTACTGGCTGCTCGATCAATGAATGTCAAATGTTTCCTTGTCGGGAAACGGTTAAAATTTCCATGGTGATTACGATATTCCAAGATTTGTTACAAACCAGGCAAACTTAAAACCTAAAATAAAAAGCTAACAAACATGAGAAACATTAACTTTGTGTCATTAGGTTTATTTTTGTAGCGATTTGCATGCCTTTTCAAAGCCCAACAATTGAATTGTAAACTTTTCTGAAAAGTGATATGGATTCTCTGTAACTAATGCCATTTTGTAGTCGGTCGGTCCTCTGGAGCAATGATGACACACATGACTTATTTGTCTTCTTTTACTCAAGCAAAAACTTTCACAAAGATTGCCAACAAGTTGTAATATGTCATCCATATATTCTGGAAGTTCCTCAAAAAAATGTTTCAAAGGCTTATTTCAGATTTTCTTTTGGACTACAACATCGAACATCATCGGATCGCAAGCCACATGCTTTGACCTTTAATATGCGACTCATGGAAATATGTTGGCTGAGCTTATTTTTTAATCGCAGTTAATATGAAAAGAAAATAAGAAAAATAAAATTCAAACTTTATAATTATTTACTGGGTATGAATTGCGAACACATTTGGTTAAAACGTAAGTTTAATGTTATTGTGCATGTAACAAAAACGTATGTGTAAATTTTGTTCATGTCTTATGGCTCTCAAACAACGTATGTGGCTCTTAAGTTAAGCAAGTTTGGCTACCCCTAGAATACAACATTTCCATCATGAACCTTCTTCCAACAACACACACACACACACACACACACACACACACACACACATATATATAATATATATATATATATATATATATATATATATATATTTGTTGATATATCTTTTTGATATAAAAGTTTAAAGGAAATGCCTCTCGTCTTTATTTCAAGGGATAAGTCAGAACTCTTTCCTTCCAATTTCCGGATTCTGAGAGTGTCTTTAGCGGCATTGAACCAATTTCTTACCAGCTGACCTAGCAATGGATTCAATATAGTGTTTCCACTTCATGTTAGCCGCGAATGTTGATACGAGGAGGCGCAACGAGTCACTCTCCCGGAGGTTAACATCAGGATGGTAGAAAGGAGTCTTTCAAGTAATTAATAGAGAGAAGTTTTGTTCTGGGGGTGGGGTAAAATTAACACGCTACCCTTTGCCCCAGTTAACAAGAGAATCTAGGTCGTTTTTGAGATCAGCCGGCAATTTGATCTTATCGATTTGATCAGACTTTCTATCGAACTAGGAGTAAATGGTCGTGTTTTCAAGTTGAAAGCTGATTAAAAAATCTAGTCAAAATTGGCGTATTTTTCTATAAATGCTTATTACATTCAAGGAAATCTTAAAATGCGGCTCAAACAGAGAAAACAAGTGTTTTGTAAGTTACAAATATAGATCTGTGGATGATCGTGCGAATCAAAATTTGTTTATGGTGTTTCTTTTCCGGAGATTCCTCCTAAAAGGATGATGCATGGATGATTAAACTAACTGAGGTCAAATAGCGATTTAATCAAAGAATTACTGGAGAAAAAATATTACTAAATGGGTTCGGCGTACGTTCAAAAAAGAAATTCCGCATTGAAAATGATTTACCCAGATTTGGTTATGTTAGTTGATTTGATGTGTGTCTTCCATATCTGAAGTAAAAAAAACAAAAACATCAGCTCTGTCTTTCTATATGCGATGTATTACTTAAACATAAAAAAAATCATCTAAAACGTTTGACAGTATTCGTGCCGAATTTTAACAACGGTAGCCAAACTTCTAACAACGTGAAAATAGAATCGGTGGGCCGAGTTCAAATTAAGGCACAAGCAGCTTGTCTTCAATTCGCACAAATAGTTTCGGGAAAGGCCTCAGTTATTCTTATCTTCCTCCTAACTATGGGTCAAATAGTAGGCTAAATAACTAGCTTTGGCTGGTAACCACTATAGGAGAATAAAATTCAAATTCGTGGAGAAATCAATGTAAAATCACTCCGCTATCTTTTCTAAAGAATGGTGATTATAACTAAGACTCTATAATGACGATTCATAGGAGAAACGATGCAGTAAGGGATAGCGGCTAGGACTGAGCTGGGTCAATTACATTCACTTACGTGTTAATACCGTTAGGAAAGGTATGGATCCTCTTCTTCCCCCCAGCTATGGGTAAAAAGCAGGACAAACTATGTAGCCTTGAGGGGCAATCAGTCTAGGAGAAAGTAACTTTGAATTTAATTCTGTATGTAACCCTGACGTTGCACATACTATACAGCTAAACATTCGGAGTTGGAGCCCCTAAGGTAGTTTGACAATCGTTCCTTTAGATCCATCAGCGATGTGGAGAAAGGGGTCATGCTATATAAGTAACATCTTGTCCTCCATACCATCCTGCAAGACCAGACTTACTGACATCTGTAAGGTAGGATCAAGCCCAGGCTTGATCCTACCTTACAGATGTCAGTAATGTGCCATGCATGATACACTCTTAGGCGATCATGTATCTTTTAGATTTTTTTCCCGCAGTAGGTTACTATTTCTTTCTGCGGCAGACCAGTTGCCATCCAAGTCTAAAGAACCCGGTCTGTCCTGGTATTTACACGTAGCTGGGGAAGAAGAAGGGAATTCATAGCTTTCTCAAGGGTATTAGCACGTAAGTCAATGTAAGTGTATTCGAACTCGGCTCTCCGATTCCTCAATCCGAGCCGCTATCCGTATGGGTGGTATCAAATCCATGGTCATCCATGATAGGCGGAGGCCTATCTAAATAGATAGATAGATAGATAGATAGATAGATAGATAGATAGATAGATATAAGCAGAATGAGATAGATAAATAGATGTGAATATGATATATGTACATTGAAATAGGGAGAGAGAGAGTTGTCATACGTAAGTATACATCAATATATATATATATATATATATATATATATATATATATGAACAAAAAAGTATATATCAACCATTTTAGCTGTAGTGAGTATACATCAATATATATATATATATATATATTTATATATCTCAACAAAAAATACATTAATATATATATATATATATATATATATATATATATATATATATAGTTATGACGAAAATTACACTACCCATCAATTCTAATTTTTTCCTCTCATTTCATTGTTGGAAGTGTTACCTGATGATCCGAAATCCTTTAAAAAGGATTTTGGTGAAATAAATTATTGTAATGGTACCTTAAAGTGGTCTGTTTTTCATTATTTTTTATATATATATATATATATATATATATATATATATATATATATATATATATATATATATATATATATATCAACAAAAAGTATATATCAACCATTTTAGCTGTAGTGTCCAGGATGTGGATTCACACCTACCTAGCTTCAAGGATTTTTGGTATTACTTTTTTTAAAGACCACAGTGAAATCAAGAAACGATTCCCTAAAATGTAGATGTGAGGGTAGTGTAACGTTTTCCGGCGCAGAAAGTGGTTATCGGCGAGAAGAGTTCAAATTCCGGTCTTGTCTGATGCGTTCACTTTCACACTAACGCCTTTGGGAAATTCAAGAATCTATCTCTTTTCCAAGTTCCAAATGAAGTAAACCCGACTTCGTTGAAAATTAGTATTCAGGTTTTTTGTTTTTAGTTAGGATCGAACGCTGACTCGAGTGTGAAATGAGTAAACACTTCGTCTTCTTTTCTCCTTTTCTTCTTTCTTCCTTCTCTTATTTTCTTCTTTTTTCTTCTTCATTTTTTCTTTTCTTTTTATCTTTTGTCTTTTTCTTTCTTTCTTCGCTTTTTCATTTCTTTTTTTCTTCTTCATCTTTTCTTCTCTTCTTTTCTTTTTTCTCATCTTCCTATATTCTTTTCTTTTCCTTCTTTCTTTTCTTCTTTTCTTCCCCCTCTTCTTTTCTTCCCCCTCTTCTTTTCTTCTCTTTTCTCTTGCTCTTTCCTACTCCTATTCTATTCTTAATTTCTTTTCTTCTTTCCTCCTTCTCTTATTTTCTTATTTTTTTCCTTCTTTTTTTTCTTTTCTTCCAATCTTTTTTTTCTTTTTCCTTCTTTCCTTCTTTTTCTTCATTTCTTCTTTTGTCTTTTTCTTCTTTCTTCGCTTCTTCATTTTTCTCTTTTTCATCTTTTCTTCTCTTCTTTTTTCTCTTCTTCCTATATTCTTTTCTTTTTCTTCTTTCTATCCTCCTTTTCTTACTTTCTTCTGTTCTTCTCTTTTCTCTTGTTCTTTCTTCTTTTCTCCTCCTATTCTATTCGTAATTTCTTTTCTTCTTTTCTTCCCGCTTCTTTTCTTCTCTTGTTCTCTTCTTCTTTTCTTTTCTTCTTCTTTTCTCCTCTTCTTCTATTCCTCTTCCCCGCTGAGTCTTAGATATTCCTTTCTGTAATCAGCAATCTTGACTTCTATTTGCTTTTCTCTTTCTTTGTCCACCAATCCTTGCTCTTTTTCACTATCACCTTCTGAACGGCTACATCTTCCACCCCTGCATTCTTTATCCCCTTCCCTCTCTATCTATAACTCCTTCTCATTTTTATTATTTTTTTCTTTGTTCTGCCCATTTCGTTTGTCGAATTTCGGATTCATCGATTTCCTTGGCTTGTTTTAAAGTGCTTCGGCTAAAATTGGTAACGCAATTTTCGCTGATTCGTCCCTGAGTGTAAATTAGACCTCGCTCAGGCTTTTCCTGCCTTTTCATCCCCAACTTCGTCCGAGACAGTTTGGCACACTTCCTCCCCACCTCCCAACACACAGCTCCCTCTCCTCTCCCGCTTCACATCATTAATGCCTCCCCTCTTACATGGTTTTCTACCTCCCCCTCTCACCCCAACAGTCCTTCGCCTCCTCACACAATTACCCATCTCCCTTCTTCCTCAATCCTAATCCTCATCCCGTTGCTTCCACTATCCAACAAACGTTCCAGTCATCCGGTTAATTCTATATACACTTTGCTCTCTCTCTCTCTCACTCTCTCTCTCTCTCTCTCTCTTTCTCGGTTATTTTTCTTTTAGAATGACTCATTTTCTCCCTCTTATTGATCGGTAAGAACCACCCGCTTTGTTCCCTTAATAGCTCTAAATCTGATATCAGCCATTTCTTTTCCCGGTATCACTCTGCCGACTGTCTCATTTTGAATTGCTCCCTTTCGTCTTCAAGACGTTGGCTAAATGTGCACGTACGAAAACAGACACCTACATCTGTGCGCATTCACTTGAAGACAGCTACACAGGCGCATATGCATATACAAACGCATTGTCGGTCATCACTTGATGCCTCAATTGTAAGAATCCGCGTCCACTAAAATAAACGCAAATCACCTGTTATAGAAGCTATAAGGTAACATTCGGCATTCATTGACCAAGCAGTTAGCGTTAGGTCAGAGTTTACTCTATCTTTCTATTTAATCCTTAGCTGAAGAGAAATATGATGGGTTCATGCCTTTCCAAGTGGTATTTATGCGAAGATAAACGCAGATTCTAATTTTTGTGCCGATAACTCTCACACTAAATGACGACTCACCACAGCTTCCTGCCTCGTGTTGCTCTGAGTAATGTCGGGCATTTTACCATCCTTTTGTCCTCACCTCCATTCTATTCCTACAGGCTCGTTAAGTAGGTTGCTCTCTGCGACCTTCTGCGTCTCTTGCCTTCAATATGTCTTGTGAGTATTAGCTTCAAGTGTTATTCTAGTTCCCATTTTCTGTCGACGGCATTCTCATCATCCGCCTGTAGAGCTACATCTCCGTAGTTTCGATTCTCTTCTTCATCTGCAAGTAAGTTATCCAGCATTTACTGTCATATCGTCTTCTTCTGTATGTGTCTCTTCTTGTTATGGTCCGGTCCCTTGTACCACGATGATAGTCCAAGGTAGAACCAATAAAGAAGAACTCGAACACGTATATGGAATAACACAGATATATTACAAACAGGAATATATACAGAGAGGTAGAAAGTGTTAGTACGAACAATCAGGTTTAGTATTAATTGTCTGAACGCGACTCTGTTTCGGACTGCCTCTGACTCGACTGACTGACTCGCTCGCTCTGACTGACTGACAGACTCCTGACAGACTTCACTTCAGACTTCAGACTGAACAGTATTAATCATCCCCCACGAGGGCATCATGTGGCACAAGGCCGGTTTAACGTGGGATCTCCGAGCCCGTGGGCTCGGCCAAAAATATGCCCTTTGAACCCGTATAAACGGGTTCAGGGTCGGTTTACCTCCCCGAAAGAGACTCCGCCCATCGGCGTAGCCTCGTTCGGGTTCCTCTCCGCCCGAAGGCAAAGAGTTCAACCGATCAGCCGATCAGCCGGTCGCCCGACTTCGGACTGAACTCCCTGCTTCCTCTTGAGGCGCAGTATTTATTACGTATGGAATAGTCCATTATGTTATTATGGGTAAGGTCCCATAACACTTCTGGATTTGGTTTGGTTTGTTTTACGGCATATCAAAATGGGTAATTTAATGCCGACAAGATTTTTATTACTGTCTGGTAATATTTTTTCCAAAAATGTATCGCTGGTAATAATGTCTTACCGGTAATAATTATTTCTACAAAAAATTATTGCTGTTAATAATTTTTTTGACAAAAATCTATTGCTGGTATTAAAACCTGTTTTTAAACTTTCATAGTCCTTTGATCGCACTTTGAGCGTTAACTATTTGCCCATAGCAGGGACCCTAACAGGTGCTACCACCCCGGGTCAGGGTGGACCTGGGAACACCAGCAATTAAGAGGTGGTTCCACGCTCCTCAAAACCTCCTGGTCAGAGCCTTTTTTGTCGGGTGTAGTTTATTGCCAAATCCAGGACGGGTCTCCTTCGCACCTAAGCGATCATAAAAACTTCCTCTCGCGTGTGAGTCTTCGCAGTTTTTCTTCTTTTGCTAAGGACCCCACAGTCGCTTCTCCATTCACACAAGCTTGTCAGGCAAATGGCTCCCTGCCTTTCCATATCTCTCTTTCGCCGTGAGTATTTCCAAGCCTGCCTTTCTCATTATGCGTTCATAGAATCCCAAATGCTGATTCTGACTATAAGTGTTATTTCTGTTGCCATTTTCTTTAAAACTTCCTTCTTGCTTACTCATTATATCCAAGGAGTTCTCAGTATCCTTCTGTAGAACCAAATCTTTGCTGCCTCAAGTTTTCTCCCCATCTCTGAGTAGATTGCCCAACATTAACTTTTATATAAGACAATAGATATCACATAGCCGCCCAGCAATTTTTCCTCTCTTTCTAACGGAATTTTTCCTCTTTTCAGCTCCTTACTTAGCAGTTGGAATGCTTCTTTCGCTAGTCCAATGCGCACTTTGGATCTCAATGTCGCATTTTCTATTTTCCATCCTCTGTCAAAACGTTTCCTAGATATTTAAACTACAACTTTTTGATGTTTATATCTCTAATTTATACATTATTGCAATATATGAGAATAGATATTACATAGTGGCTCAGCGATCTTTGTTTCTAACGAAACTGTCCTATATCTTAAGACTTTGTTTAAGCTCTAGTATGATTTCTTCGCAATTCCAATTAGGAAACAATAAAACACGTAACGTGGCTATCCCAAGGAAGCTGGAAACCCTGCCAGGATTTATTATCAGTGCGTGCAATCGTAACAATATACAATACGTAAATGATATTATGCTGATGGCAGACAGAAAAGGAAAGCTGTAGGACCTCATAGTAAAGAAAAGCGAGAAGAAAGGACTAACTATCAATTGTAAGAAGACGGAATATATGGTTATCATCTGTGAAAACTACTAACTAGGAGGTCAAAATTTCTATTCTCTCTCTGATTGTAAATAACAGTTTCTTTTCAGCTCAATAAGAGTAGATAGGCTCGCATTTCGTCCGGGTCATACATATCCCCGATTTTTTTGAGCAGGACTACAAGTTTATTCCTTGTTTCCTCTTTAGGATACGTTTTCCGGTTCTTTCAACCCTGTACTTTTGACGTCGCCGCCTGAAATCTGAAATTTTATTCAGTAATAATTATTATTTTTCCTCCCCCAATAGGAGTATATAGGTTTTTTTAATTGTACAGTTCATACTCCTCTCCTGTCTTTTGAAAAAGAGTAGAGGTTCATCACTAGTTTCCTGTTTAGAATTGGACTTCCGGTCACTGCATTCATCGCTAGAAGCACATTTCTATCGCTTCGAATTTTCTCTTCGTCTGTTCAGCTTTTACTGTCATATACCAGGTTAGATATGATACAGCCGTTCAGCAGACTGTTCTAAGTTTCTAAATTAAAATAAAAATCCGGAATTATTTATACATTTCTAGAAATATCCGGTATTCTACAGACAGTGGAATCTTGGTTATTGGCCATAATCCGATCCAGGACGTTGACCAAAAACCGCTTCAAAAAGTTGGAAATTGCCTCTAGAAAGAAACATTTTTGTATGGCCAATTGTATGTTGCATGTTCAAGAAATCTTAAGAATTTATTCTTCGCTGTTAAAAAGGGAAAAAGAAAGAAAGAAATTTTCGTAAAAAAAATTGTTTACCATGAAATCCTATAAAATTAAATTATATTAAAGAAATTATTAAAGCTTGAAGTAGGTTCTTTTCAAAGTATTTTCTAAACAAAACCTTTGATTCAAATTCCATCGATGGAAATTGAACGAAACGTTGAGTTTGTAAATCTTAACTAAAAATGTTAACAATAACTTCAACAATACTAAATACTCTGAGGATTATAATGACAAAAGTACTCAGGTGTAGGCTTTTAAAAAGCTTCCTTCAACTGAGTATATCTACTTGTATTATGGTACAGAATGTGGCAAAATGCCAAAATGGCGACTGGGGAAAATGACCGTCTTCTTCTGTCTTAACTTTAAACTTAGCTAGCCACAAAACACTGACCCAAACATACAAACAATTGTCCTAACACCAAAACAACACATTCTTGCCTAGATTTCTTACAAAAAATTAGAACAAATAAGAACACGGAAGAATTAAACAAATAAAATACAGAACACTTAACGGAAATTTATCAAACCGATTATGGTTGCCCTCCTGCATTGAACATGGCCGGAGAAAGGACACCGACATTCCCATCGAACCAGTTCGCATCTCAGTTTTGATGGTACCATCGGGAGACAGGCCACCAATGCCCAGAGGAAAGGTTAGATTTAAAGCTTTAAAACTCTATACAGGGAGGGGTGAACAAAAAGCAGGAACCTCCCTGAACAATATTGTAATTTTTTTACACTTTTATCAAAGCAGGCCATGGGTGAAAACCAACCAAACACCTCGTTTTTCTCCGCAACCACGGTCCAAATCTGTTGACTTGCCTCCCCTTCTCGAACAACCGTTAAGACCCTTTTAGCTTTTGGGAAATTTATAGAGTCTTCAATGTCAAGATCGTTTATTTTTCTGCAATTTACCAGATTTTTATATTTTTCATTTCTTTTAGACTGCAGCAGTGCCTTTTCTTCCACTTGCTTGGAAACCCGGCACATGTCTTCTATTGTGTTATAAAGGGGTTTGGACTTTTTCATGTTTGTTGAATCTGTTGTATCCAGTGACGAACTTCTTTGTCGTTTGGCACTGTCTCTCTTTTTAGGTGTACCGGCAGGAGTTTTCAATGGGGATGGTTTAGGGGTACTGAAAGGGGTAGGAAGGTTCTTGGCAGTTGATCTTGTGGTGGTGGTGGTGGGGGAGGGGCTTTTTAAGGTAGTTATTTTAGATGGAGAGAGAGAGAGATTGGGCACTCAGGACGGGAGGGGGAGCCAACGTATGTTGTTTTGTTGAAGGGGTAAACGGTGCCAAGGAGTTAGGGACATAATTTTTTCAAGATGCTTCGCTTTAAGATATTCCTTTAATAGTTGTAGTCTCTCAGCTTTTTCAAAAGATGGTTCATATTTTTGTTTTTTGTTGTCGATAACTGGTCGAGGACTCGCCCTTAGAACTGGTGGATGGAGTGGGGCTGTTTGTATCGATACCCGTTGAGACTTCAGAAGAACGAGAACCCTCTTCCCGGAGCTTCCGTCTAGCCCAACCAACAACC